CTTAAAGTTATGCAAACTCGTTGCCTCATAAAAACTAAGTAAAGTTTAGGAGCACGTATGCAAGCACGTGGGGGTCATACAAACTACCTGAATATCATTTTGAAGCACACATCATGGCACAGGGAGGCAGACCAAGGGAAGAGAAAGGATGGGGGGGGGGGGACAGAGTTGGCAGGATTCACCAACCCCAACTTAACGACCGCCACACCACTGTCAATCTCCACCCCACTCAGCCCATCAAAGTAAGAGGAGAGCCCCTAGGCACCTATAACATCACTGCACACCTTCTATTGTATTGCTAGCCTTCAGATCTTCAAGTGGCCTGTTACTCTGTGATCAGCTGCACCATCCTGCAGGTTCCTTGGTCTGTTCGGTCTTTATTATCATGACACAAAAATAAAACATGAGACATCAGCTGAATATAACTCAGTAAGACAAGGGAAAAATACTTTGTTTGCAAGAATTCTGCAGTATTAATAGTAGTCATCTGTGGGAAAATGCTCTGTGGGCTGCAGGGATTTGGGGTTTTTTTTGGTTGTTTGTTTTGGGGATTTTTAAATGACCACTGACAAAAACTGGCAGTAAGGCTGAAACTGTGTCCAGATCATTTAATTAATACACCCACAGGAAATGAGCAACTGATTGATTTAGAAAAAAAAAGTTACTGAGATTTAAGTAAAATTTAGAATCTAAGACTTTTACTTGTTACAGAATATTTAACAGATTATTATTCTCTCTACTCTCTACTGTGTGTCAGAAGGAGTTTTTAACTGCTCATTAACCTTCCCAGTTATCGCATAATCGCTGAAAGAACAAAAGCAGAAACACGGCAATGAAGTTCAAACTAAAAAAAAAGTGTTTGTGTTTTTAGCCTCTGCGATGCAGACTGGGAGTGAGACTGCAGGGTGGTCCAGAGTTCCAGAGAAGATGCTGCAGACTGCATGCAGGGCAGGACGTAGGATGGAGAGGATCGTTTTATATCACGGGTATTAAGCAATTCCTGGAAATGTGCCAGACAGCAGGCAGAGACAGGGGTCACCGAGGCGATCACGACGGAGGTGATGTCTCGCGCGATCGGGATACATGTACCTTAGAGACATCCTCGGAGCTGGATCATAACACGGGCTCATCAGCGCAGGGGATTTTCAACACTTCAGCAAATGTCGACATTATCACAACACGCTCAGGCAAACGGGCTGCTGAACTGCTCATGAGGCAAAAACAACAAAATATGCTTACATAAAGGTTTCTGCTTCACACTCCATGGCACAAAGATCCTCTGTTTTAGAGATGCCCCCAATCAGTCGGAGTGACGAGTTTGGTCTTTATACCAACTAAGCATCTGGTCACTTTCTGAAATACTTTTTCAACTTTATGTGTAAAACAAAAAGCATTTCCAATACATGTATTCATAATACTTCTTCATAGTCCATTTTCCTAAATTTGTCCTGTTTTGTAAATAAGAAAATTAAATTACCAAGAAACATTAGTGTCTGCTATAAGGCACATTTTTAGGTCAGTGGGGGTTTTCCTAGCTATAGGTGAACATTTTCAAACTGTAGCACTGTCGCCTCACAGCAAGAAGGTCCTGGGTTTGATTCTAGCACCTGGCTGGGGCCTCTGTGTGGCGTTCAGACTTCCTCCCACACTTCAAGACGTGCAGTCAGTGGGGTTAGGTTAATCAGTGATTCTAAATTGGCCGTAGGTGTGAATGTGAGTATGACGGTTGTCCGTCTCTGTTTTAGTCTTGAGAACGATTGGCGACGTGACCAGGATGTACCCTGCCTCTCGCCCTATGGCAGCCGGGGTAGGCTCTAGTCCCCAAATTGGATAAGCGTAAAAAAAATAAATAGATGGATATCAATTATGATACTGCATCATTCTTAGCCTGCCTCCTCAACCAAGACGGGATTGCCTGGAGAGACTCTACTGCCTATTACTACTCTATTACACAATTCACGGGGAGTCACTGTGGCCACGAGTTCTGAGTAATGACTAGAAGAATTAAAGCATCTCAAACACAAGCACCCCTCACTAAGGGACAAGTGAGGAGTCCTGTCATCCGGGAGGGGCCCCGAGTAGATCAGCTACTCCACGCTGATGTGAGCCAGGTGGAGAGGTTCAGCATCTGACCCTGATGCCACCGTGGGGCCTCTGATGTAAGATGCTTCTGGTTGTCCGAGTGAGAGGAAACCCTGGAAACCCTCTTCTTCTATGACCCGGACCCAAATAAAGGTCTGAAAAATTTAAGCATGAATGGAAAAATCATCCAAAGGACTTTTCTAAAAACTACTATTAAAAGTGTAAGAATTAACCCATAAATAGGTTTCTTAGTCATGTTTTTCTTGTAGTGTTTTCTCACACAGTTTACTCTCAGGTGAACCAAAGACCCTGAACTACTCGTAGGTGTTTGTCTATCTCTGTGTGGTGTTTATTGGTGTCCCTGCTGTTTCGTTTGGCAGGCTTCCTGTGTCAGTGGGAAGTTAGACTGAAAAAGTGCAATAATGCTTTTTCTGAGCCACTCCTACGTGACAGAGCAGAACGGAGCCTCGCAATGCCTCCACCAACTGGAAGACAGATGGCCCTGGCTCACAATAAAAAAATTTTTTTTTAAAAATCCTTCATTTATTATTTGCGACCAGAAATGATGCATTGCATATCCTCACTGGTGCAAATGAACAAAACGTCTATGGAAGAAAGGAGTGGAAAAGGAGAGGCTCTTAAAGCATCATCACTCCCACGATCCAGGTCTCTGACTGCTGAGGACCACGTTATATATACGAGGCAGCTAGGGAAATTGAAAATAGTCTGATTTAAGCTCGTTAAAACTACAGGTCACGCAGAGGGCCTGGGCCTCTTTAATGGCCACAATCAATGGAGCTCCTTTATGATAAAAAATCTAATCAAACTCTATTAACTTGCGAATGAGCATCGTTGTGCAGGTGATTTAAAAAGTAATTAGAGTAAGTCTTCAAATCCAAGTGGAGCTGTTTAATGATAATATCAATCTTTTACATTAATTATCATCATAAAACTGACAAAAGTCAGTTTTACTGTACATGGATTGGTACTTCTGTGCTTTTCTACTCTATTTGAACACTTAAAGCACTTTCTTACTACAAATCTTATTCACCCATTCACCTTAAACACGTTTAACCTAACATTCACACACTCGTGGATGAATCAGGGGAAACTCGGGGTTCAGTATTTTGCCCAAGGATACGAGCTGGGGAACGAAACACAGAGTGGAGGACCCGCTGTACCTTCTGATCCACGGACACCCATGTTACTTATCAGCAATCCAACCCAAAAAACAAAAGCTTTGCTCAAAGTCACACCTTCATGCGTAGGCAGAAAAACAAACAAACAAACAAAAAAACAGCTGATGAGGGAAGGAGTCATCACTATCTCAGTGTCCGAGGAGAAAGTGCTGCGACGGTCATTAATTTGAGGACACTGTACAGCACATGGATCCAGAGAAGGAAACGGAAGATGAGCTTTAAAACAAACAAACAAAAAACACACAAAACCCCCAACAGTCATGTTTCTGAGGATGACTGTTAGACTCTACTTTGAATCAGGATTTTCCTACCAAAACTACAAAGGTAGAATAAAAAGCTGGCGATGCTAATGTGGGAGTACCTGCATTCTTTCTAACGGCCAGCAGGGGGCGACTCAGGTTATACAAAACTTGAAATTGAATTGAAGTGTAAGGGGAAAATAGTGCACATCTCCCTCAGTCTGGGACCCCAGTAAACACTTTCCTGATGTCCTTATGACCTCAGTCAAAAGTTTCAGCTTTTGTTGAATAAAATTTAAACTTAATTTAGTAAATTATGGCAATTATGCAAGTCAGAAAGGAGAATTATCTACGGTATGATCAATGGCTCACTGGTTTCACGTTTATAGTGGGCAAGCCTGCTATACATAATATAAGTCAATGTATATTATAGGGCTGCCACAAACGATTATTTTGATAGTCGACTAGTCACCGATTATTTTTGCGATTAGTCGACTAATCAGATCATCATCCATTGGACGTACAGCGTACTGCTTATTGCACCGGCAGCATCTGGTCTTATATAACTATCATTAGCTTACAGCTTGAAGTGTTTGTGCTAACTAAAAATAAAGACAAGATGGTAGTTTATTAATTTTTAATGAAATTTGCAGATTGTTTCGGTGAAGTTTAATAAACTCCTTGCTTTCTAAAATATAACAGGACACCGGAGTATATTCTCCAGAGTCTCACACTTCTGATAATCAGCTGTCTGCTTGACAGTTTTAGCTGTGCAAAAAACTATAACTTTAATCTCAGCCAAACCGATTTACTCAGGAACAAATAAAATACTAAAGTAAGCCAAACAATAACATTTTTAAGTTATCTAAGTGACTTATATATATGTTTAACCTGAGTAGCGAAAGACGGCGGTGGGTTTGAAAATGATTTGCCGGGAGTCCGGTGTTCTCATGGCTCTAGTTAGCCTTGCCCCCGCCTAGCTAACGAGCTAGTGGGTAACAGACATCTCCGAAAACGTCGGAGCGCTTTTGAAAATACGTGGTGTCTTGATAAACTGAGCAGATATTTGAGGTTTACACAGCTACATTCTCGCCTGAAAATATGTTAAACGTTTATTTTGTGACCCAGAAAGAATAATAAGAGTAAAGTTAAAACTAACTAGCTGCCGCCATTGTTGACAGCTGCGCTGGGGTTTAACGGCAGCTGGCATCCTTGTACATGCAGTGCTGCCATCTTCTGTTTCAGTCCGTTATTACACTCTTAAATCCTACTACTCATTCCTGCGTCCTTTGTGATCTTACAAAGCTTCAAACGATGCGTCGACTATTAAATTAGTCGTCGACGATTTTAATAGTCGACATAATCGTGACTAGTCGACTAATCGTGGCAGCCCTAGTATATTAATAAGACCAGGAAAGCATAAATAAATTCTTTAGCATTTTTATTTTGTTCAAAAGTAGCCATGTACAGAAACTTTCCAGTTGCACAAAGGCCAAAGAACTGATAAAAATGTGGAATATTAATAAAAACCTAAAACAGTTCTTCTACGTTGGTGACCGGCTGCAGCTTTTCAGTGTTTATCCCAAAATCTCTGATCAATACCTTTCAATATACTGATCAGCCACAACATAAAAAACAGATCTGATTGGTAGAAACACGGCTTCACCAGCTGGCAGTGGCAGAGTTTAACACCTTGAACGCTTCGATGTCTTCCTAAATTAATTTAGTGAAAGTGGAGCGACTTGCTGTTTTTCTGGTCTCGGTCAACAACAATAACCCATCTCACATCCCATTAACCTGGCAGCTATTTTAACATGAAGACTCAATGTCTCATTGACTTTTCGAAAACTACTGTGCTTCAAAATAATTGTGGTTTTTAAAAAACGTTTTAATGCTGTGGCTGATCAGCATTGAGAGCGAAACCATTCAAACAGTGAAGCTCACATTCGGCCGATGCAGCAACCAAAAGAAACATAAGGAGAAAAATATTGAATATGCTCAGATACGCTGTGTGACAGTGTGTGTGTAGGATCGCAGAAACACTTAAGCTTCAGCCTGGCACACAAAGTGCAACACCCCAAATGACAGAACCTCTGAAACAAAGCGAACAGACTGCAGACAACAGCATGCCAATGGAACAAGCACCATGTGCAAAAGGACAGGTGGAGAGAAACCACAGAGCCTGCAGCCTCCGAATATATGCTCCATCATCATTAAACAAACAGAATCAGCATCACGAGCACATTTCTCATTTCTTATCCAGTGTTAAGGCACGTAGAATATATAGATGACCTTTGGCAAAAGTTGAACTCTTTACAAAAACATCCTGGAATGAGACACGCCCTTCAGAAAATGTTAAAAAGGTGCTGCTGCTTTAAATGCTCAACCATAAACTGGAGGAACGCATCAAAGTGTCTGCAAAGGTAAGAGGGGTGCAAAGCTCCCGCTCTCCTTGCAGCACCGACGACACTCAGCGACTGAAAGCTTTCAAAGTGCAAACTTAAAGCAGTCTCTTTAAGATCTGGGACAGACTGAGCCCCGAGGATTTGGTTTACAGCTTTAGGAAAAAAAAAAAAAAAAAAAAAAACCTCAGATGGGCTTCAGATAAACTAAACACATGACATGAATGGAAAAAGGGGACTTGCACAGACTAAGCGGTGCCTCTGTTATGCTCAGGTTTATGTATTTACTATTTCACTCATTAGCGTTAGCCTAGCTTTTCATGAGTAAAAGTTCAAAATAATGCCCCTTTTTTCTTATTCTGGGCATCGATCGCCCAGTTTCTACTCTGAAACTCTTTCCAACTGGCTGTTTCTCACAAACAAAAGAAATTTAATCCTTCTCTCTCATGTTTGTGTTGGAGTCAGGACACTTGCACAGGCCAAAACCTCCTGTTTTGAGTACTGGTTGTTGCTTATGAAGATATAAATCTTTGTCAGAATAATTCCAGTTTTAAGATCGCATTTAGTTAAATGCTACTATGTTACTCGCACAGGGCCAAAGATCAAACATGATTAAAGTCAGACTAAAAAAAAAAAAAAAAAAAAAAAAAAAAAAGCTTACGGTAGCAAAAATCCTGCTTCTTATGATAGCGTTAGCTTAGCTGTGTATAAAATCGAAGAGCAGAGGGAAACAGCTTAAGGTAAAAATATCCAACTGTAAACGTGGTGTTTAAAAACTGAAAAGCTAAAAGCAAAATGGGGCTTTTAAAGTGCTTCCTAGTAAAACTGTAAAGGATGCAGATGAGAAGACATCTGCAAAACATCTGCGCAGACACACAGAGGAGGGTTTTCACTCGGATGGAGGCTGACAAGTGACGGGTTCAGTACATGAAGGTGAAGACAGAAGCAGCTAACCGCTAGCAATGATACATACATTATCTTTATGATATGGTGATTACAAAAATGAAAGAAAGGAGATGTTATGAAATGTTAATTAATGAGCTTTAGAGATGCTGGAAAGCAGGTTTTAAAAATTATTATTATTATTATTTATTTATTTTTTTTAGAAAATAACGCCTCCGACTTCAGCTTTATATTTGACAGAGTCATGGAAACTGGATTGACCTCAACTCTTGGCAACAGTTAGCAAATCTACATTTATGCAGAACTGGCTCTTAAAAGAGATCCAATGAGTCATTGGATAAACACACACACACACACACACACACACACACACACACACACACACACACACACACACACATATAAGAGTTTTGCTTTTGCGAGGATGTAGCGTATTCCATGGCCCAGCTAAACGTCTAACCCGAACCCTAATCTGAACATAATCCTAACGCTAACCATTTCAAACCAAGTCTTAACCCTGTAGAAACAAACACACACACGCACCCACACATACACACAGCATAATTCCTGGTGGATTCTTAGTGCATAAAGACTGAAATGGCGGTTTCTTGGTCATAATGCACAAATAACTTTACAGCCAACAGCTCTAATAACTATAATTTAGAAGAATTTACTGTGCAAGAGAACAGCTAGAAACGGACCTCTATGTTTCCCGATCCAACAAGAAGAAGAAAATGTGCACAGAGCCAGCACCACAACTTGCTGCACTTGAATATAAACCTTTGGTATCATCTGCATGGAAGTCCTCACAGAAATATGCTTCTGCGTGGCCATTAAGTATAAGTAAAGTACGGGAACTTCTTTCCTCGTCAGCACCGATTCGAGGCCACGAACGGCTCCGATCCCGGTTTTGGTGCATTTACAGGCCAAGCTGAAAGAACGAACTGGGTACCATATCACGGTGGAATCTCTCTGCTCTTCTTTTCATGAAGACCTGACAGAGTACTGAGATGTTTCTGTGTGAACTTTAAGTTTCCCAGTATCAGAAAAATAAATCTCCCAAAAGGCAAAAATATCTGCTTTAGATTTACATCCAAAATATAAAGTACCTCTTTGCATGTTTCATAAAAGAATCTGCTTGAAAAATATAATTAGATCTTTAAAAAACAAACAAACTATTGTGCAATTGAATTCCTAGTTAAGACTGAAGGAAGCGGCCTGCAGCGGCCGTTCTGTCGGCGGCTCTGTCCTGTGTGCCGAACTGACGGCGTGCTCAGATTTGAGTCTTTCCTCTGAGTTCCTCGTGTATCTGACGCACTGCGAGGCTCCGTCGGGGGGCATGCTCAGCTGCACGCTGTCTGCCTGAGCGGGCAGAGGTGTGGAGGTGACACAGCTGGACAGATTGACATCTGACGGCTCTATAGTCTTATTGAGATGCTCAGAGTCTGCGGCAGAAGAAGTCTGCAGCTCCCCTGACAGGGCGGGGTTGTCTTTGGTGTAGGGAAGGGTGTCTACTTCTGACGGAGCTGGTGTATAGAGATCTGAAAGGTGCATATCGCTGTCTGTGGGCTGCAGCGGGCTTCTCTTTGCTTCATCTGTTTGTAATAGAGGCCCCTGTTTTGAGCCAGAGACGCTCCTCCCATCCTTTTTATAGTAACCTTTAGGCGAGGCCTTAGCGAGGGACAGGAAAGGAAGCTTGGGGCAGAGCGGCGACCCCACCTTGACCCGACTCAGGCTAAGGATGTTCCTGCGGATGTCAGCGGGGAGTTTATCCAACTGCCTTCCAAGTTGGACTGGGCTCGGGAACAGCGTGCCTTGACACGCCCTGTAGAAAAATCTGAAAAGTAAAACAGAGACTGACATCAGCATCGCTCCACCGAAGATCGCCAGGCGGCTGGGATAAACATGAAAGGCATCTGGTATCAATAACAGACGCAATTCAGCACTCGGATCATAAATATTTGAAAAACAGGCTCGTGTTTTCACTCATCCACAAACTGAACACGGTGTACCGAGGCAGCAGCGCAGCGATGGGCGTGATGAAGCACAGCAGGTAGAAGAGGGGCTCCTGCAGCAGCCTCTGCATGGTCCAGTAGGGGTTGGAAGGAGAGTAGCAGGCGGGACAGGAGGCGTTGTAGCACAGCGCCACGGTGAAGAATAAGGCGATACTGAAGGCGATCGACATCCAGTTCATCCACGTCTGCAGGGGGAAGGACACGAGGATGAGAAACAGTAACAGAAACTTAAAATCATAAGACGTTACACACCTATTCTTAACGCAGGCGTTCACACCAACCATGTAATTTTACTGTCGTTATTTTTTCAAACAAAGCTCGATTTTTCACATGCGAATAATCAGATCTCACCAAGTTCGCTTGTAGCGCAGAACACGCACCGGTACTGAATATACAATGACACGGAAATACTAATATAACACTGTTTTTATATAAGACTCTCAATTTCTCTATAAGGGATACACAGTGATTTGATTTACTGCCTGCAAAATATTGTTAACATATATATTAAAATGAAGGCAAACGTGACTGGAAGCTAAAGCTTGCTGTACATTTAGGCGACATTAAAGAAGTTTCCTCCAGGCGGAAAGACAGAAGTGTGGATGCGAAACCGTCTTCTCGTGCCCTAAAATGAGTTTAGTCAGCGAGGGGAAAAAACTCCTCATGTTGCATCCTGGAGATGATTGGCTGATGAGACGTCTGACACAGTGAATCGTGTACAATGGCTCACTGAAGTGTTGTACTGACACACGTAATTAATTACAGCCTCACAGCTTCTGTATTTTGGGGGAGGAGGGGGGGGCTGCTGTCACCTACCTACCTTTAATTGACTTTCACACCAGTTTACCAATCAGGCATGCATTATGTTCCTGAGCAGTGAGGAAATGAAGGGCCTGCCATCCGAGTGTGTGGAAGTGTACCTTCCATCGTGCTCCTTTTAATGAAAGCGCCTCTAAATGAGGGGCAGTCATGTCCATGAAGGCAGTAAGTAAAAAGGACACTCTTCCCACGTGTTTAAAAAAAAGAAAGAAAAAAAAACCCTCATCAGGCTGAATTTAAAGCCACAGAGATGATGGAGAAGACTCGGACTCAGGGCAAAGTCATAAATTTCAACAGTTTATGAGCATCATGTCTGAGCTCTCTGGCGGTGTAAGGTGTTGGCACGCTGTGATGAGTTGTAACTGGAGTTTATAGCACTCCAAGTCTAAGCTCTGATCTCTGGCTGCCTGGTTCAGTTTCGAGCGAGGCTGGTCTCACCCTGGGAAAAACATGGGGTTTGTTTCTGACGTTTTCTAGTCTTTGTTCCATCTTCTGCACAACTTCAAATCTCTGCTTAACCTCCTCGGACCTGGCGTCCATATATGTGGACATCACATTTTGGGTTACTTAGACCAAAATACTCAATTTTGCTCTATATCCACCTCCTGTACAGACTCTACCGGAAACCCAGTTTGTTTTAGGCTTCTTTTGCCTTTCACAATAAAAGTCGTAAATATGTACACTACGTGATTAATGTGGTCTTGGTGATAAATAACAGAATTAAACGGGTTAAAGTAGTATGTTAAAGCTACATATGACAGAATCCAGGAATTAAACTAAATGTCAACTTTGTTTTCACAAGTTATGAAACAGAAGTTTTCAAAAATAAATCAATAAATTGTTCATGTCTGGCAAATTTCTATGATGCTGATTTTCCAATCCATGAAAAAAATGGTTACAAAATATGTAATTTTATGAATTTTTTGCATAAAACTATCATTTTTATAATTTATTACAAAGGTTCCTGTAATGTGTTACCATTGAATGATAATCACAGGCCAACAGTGAGGTTTTGGAAACACCACTCATGTTCCACCACAGAGATTTTGAGCATTACAATGCTGTAACCTTCCAAAGCAGACTGACTATGAGCTTAAAATTGTTTTTATTTTTTAAATAAACATCAGGGATCGCTGCTGTCATCTGTTGGCTTTATAATCAGATTTCTTACCCATGTTTTGGTCTCGGTGCCCAAATGCAGCAGAATAGTGAATAAGGCGAGGGTGGTGATGGGAGTTCCCCATGTAAACAGGTCCACGTCAGAGTCAGCGTAGGCCTGGGTAGCATAGAAGAACATTTCATTAAAAAAATATATACAGAAAACAGATTTTTGTTCTTTTAGTCAATTTTTTCCCCAACACAACATAAAGCGACGTGAATACACGTGCTTGCTAGAACTGATAATCGACCAAAACAACATAAGACCACACCTTACATACCGATAGGAGGATCTCACTGAATTTCTGTATTTTTAAGCATTTTTTGTGCATTTATTGATATATATTGAATATATTGCAGTTTTGTATAAATAAAAATGTGAGCTTAGCAATCACTACAACACTTCCAGGTTCATGCTTTGTACTGAAAACATTCTTTTTAAATAAAATTTGAAGAAATTAATAAATAAATTGTGAATTAATAAATTTCATTGCTGACGAATCCATTTTAACAACCATGTAAAGAGGATAAAACATTAAAATCAACACTAAAAAAAACAAATCAATACAAAGGTAAAACTCTAATAACTTGGTGAAGACGAATGGCAGACGTGACACTTACAAAGTAAGGAATGAAGAAGCAGACGAGACTTTGGTAGAAGGCATCAATCATGTTCATCCAGAACATATATGGCTTATATTCCTGCAGGATAAACACAGACACTCAGCATCAGTGTGACTGTAGAGAAGAAAAATGTTAAAAATGTAAATATTCAAAACACATATAAAAATGTCTCTATTACCTACATTTGATACCAGAAGCAGTTAACTAGTCCTGATTAATTCTGGGTCAGAAATAAAATTAATGACCCATCAAAACAATGAAGAAGCGCAACAGTTTTAACCTTTACGCTAAAATTTATGCTAGAAATCAAAGGTTAATGACAGAAATCATGGCATATTATAACATAAATTCATTTTATTTAGGAAAAATGTGGATTTCTAAACTGAATGGTATCTATGCAGCATGCAAAATGAATTCCAGCTTATTCTTGACTTTTGAGTCAAGACTGACAAACTGGGTTTTCTCTGGAGCAAAGAGTGAAGTCTTTCACCTATGCCAGGGAGAGGAAAAAAACCCTCATGGTAATACCAAGTTTAATTCTTAGACTAAATCGTGGAGAACTTTGCATGATTAAGAGTTTAGGGCTCACTGGAACCCCTCATTTCAAGCCAACTTGCCTTTAAGCTAACATCGTTCTGATTGGCTGCCTCTCACAAACAGAAGGTGGGGCTTCTATGACAGAGATAACTACAGTAGGGACATTTGCTCTCTCATATGAGTCAACAGTAGTAGTGTGAACTGAGCGTTTAGAGCAGTCTGAGCTTTTGGCTCACAGATAACTCAGCACCTGAAACAGCCGCAATTTGTGTAAACTTACTACACTACAGAGCTACAAACATCCTGCCTTAGAGTGATGCTGAAAAACTAGTTCATGCATTTTTCACTTCTAGGTTGGTGTACTGTAATTTCTTCTTATCAGACTTTTGTAAAAGCTCTCTAAAAAGCCTTCAGCTGATCTAAAATGCTATAGAGGGAGTATTAACTGGCTGTAGACGCAGCGCTCATATTTCTCCCATATTTGCTTATCTTCACCGTCTCCCTGTTAAATCCAGAATTAGCACTTCTCCCTACCTACTGCACCACCATGGGAAGCAGAGCTTTCAGCTGCTCTGCTCCCAGGCTGTGGAACTCTCTTTTTTCCCCATATTCTTAGTAAAAATTTGAAATGTGCTGTCAGATCATTAGGAGGGAGCGCACCTCGGAGTTCTGGCCGTTCACGTAGAGCTGAGGTAGTTGTTGGAGAGTCTCTGCTGACACGTCTTTGTCCAGAGTGCCAGTAATGAGTTGTGGGAAAGCAGAGAACATCAGGTTGAAGAAGATGAGATACCACTGGTCAATCATGGCTGAACCTGAGAAGCCACAGTAGAACTGATACCAGAAGATGAGCGCCACAAACATCTGAGGGAACAAATGGGATGGAAGCAGTGAGAAAAAGCAGAACACCTCATCCTTTCTGACTCAGATCTGTGTGCGCTGGGAGGGGCCTTACTGCATTCTTGTAGAAGAAATACAGGATCATGTTAGCCAGGCGGGAGTAGCACCAGTGCCCGTGTACCAGCAGGAGCTTCTGGAGATACCGGAAACGTGGGAGGGCAAAATCGCTTGCCATCACTGCCTGCAGAACACCACAAGAACCAAACGTTCAGTCTCCTGCCGCCTCTCTCCTACGTACACGAGACGAGCACACATTAGGCAGTTACTCGTTGACTGTTCTCGCCTCTTCTTAATGAATCTTTAGCGGGTATAATCTTTCCAAAGCAATAACTCGTAAACGAGTTGGCCTCCCCTTGGATTCACCGTTAGCGCGGCAGGAAGCTGTCAGTCTCATCCATCACCGTGTAAAACACTCCCAGTACTGAGCCCTGCTTTTACATCATAAACACCGCCGCTAACCCTTTACGGCACCTCTCGGCTGTCAGCAACAGAAACAGCAGCAGGCCTCTCGCTTCTGCTGCGCTCCAATAACCCCTCCTAACGACTACACAGGGAGCGCGTCGCTAATAGACGAATGGTCCGCTAATGATAACGCAGCAGCGCGTGCAGGCTCGGGGCGCAGTAAAGAGCGTCTCAGCACGTGGTGTGCGGCGGAGTCCCCGAGAGTGACCGCTGTCTCATTAAGTGGCAGTTTGATTAACGGTAATTAATGCAGCGGATTGGTTAAAGACAGGATACTGAGGCTTTAGCAGATGTGCTACACAGCAGCGTGCCAGCAAAGCCTCCCCTGGAAGTTAATTGGGAATCTCCATCATAAGAGCACAGCTCTGGAGCAGGGTGCTGCAGGTAAATGAGCGGAGGGGAGGAGGGTTTTCTTCGTGAAGATGCTCTCTCAGCTGTGGCCTTGGAGCTGAGCGTCCACGCCGCGCTGCTTCTCTGCAGGACACAGGGCCTTCCTGCTGACTCAGCACAGCACAGGCAATCCTATTTAGAGGATGGTCATGGATGTGGGCTAAAAACCGCACTTAAGTGTAATGAAAAGCCATTAACAACCCTAAAGAATGCTAGTGTCTCCCCCTCTTCCCAATTCCCCAATCTTTTATCTGCAGCTCTTCTCGCTCTCAGGAGCTCTCAGGCTGCGCTGCTTTTTTTTTTTTTTTTTTTTTTTTTTTTTCCTACAGCCCACCGTAAATCACCCACCTCTCCTCTCCGCCCCATGTGCCACTCTATTCATCACCTTACCTGCATGCCTTCCTGTCCTGAGATCCCCACACCCACGTCTGCGACCTGGATCATGCTGACGTCATTGGCCCCATCTCCTGTGATTAATGTAGGGAAGTGAAAGAGAGAAAATAGACCGTTAGAAGGAGGAGGTACATCAGTTTATAAGAAGGGGGGGGAGGGGGCTTTATTGAGCGTGAAGATGACAAGATGGAGAAGCCGGCGTGCCCAGTGTTTGCGAGAGGAACGTGAAGCTTTCACAGACTCCTCAGCCGTTATACGAGCCGCGCGCTTGCGGTGCCGTTCGCCACCTCTGCAGCTCGGCCTCCCGTGAGGCGGAGGCCTTCCTGCTGCGGCAGCCGACAGGCGGTGTCTCCGGATGTGTGGATAAATTTGTTTTCCCTTCTTTTTGTCACTACAGGTGGTGGAGTGGGAGGGGAGGAGGATTTTGTTGTCACAATGGCACCGCAGTGGCAGCACAGACTGATAATGAAAGGTAGGTGGTGAGAAGAACTCAAATAGAAGTTGGCTGGAATTTTTTTTCCCTTTTTTCCTTTTTCACTGAGAATTCACAAGGCTGGATTTTTTTTTTGTGAGTGGGATGGAACAACGTGATTAATGTGCCATCACGACTTTTTCAGAAAAGTATAACCAGAGTGCATTTCGGCTGCTGCCATATCAGTTTTTCTGGAGCCAGACGTGACCATGTTTGGATGTTATTGTATCTGCTTATTAGTGATCAGCAACATCCAAATTAAATTCCTGAATTTTTCTCACCAGAACTGGACAGTGTGTTAGTATAATTAACCCCAGCGCAGCGATATTATTGGTCAGATACTTGCATTAAAACCCTAGAGTGGCCCGAGGAGGCCATGATTTATTATTATTACAAATAATGTGAGTAAGGCTCCGTACCAGCTCGTGAAGTGTGACACGTCTGAATAATAAGACTGAAGTACTGAAAGATATTAAAGCTCAAAAGCTAACATAGCACTGACTGAAAAAAAAACGCCCCGCTGGCAAATAAAACCTGCTCCTCCTGAGCGCAGCTGGACCAAATAAATGGAAAACAGAGAAAAGACCAACGCAGGTCACCGTGACGTCCTCGCGTCGCCTCTTTGCTGCTGCAGCTTCAGTAGGGAAAGTGTAGAAATACTAAGAATAACTCAGAGCGGAGGCTGAATGATGAATGGTGCACCTCCATCTCAGGCAAATTTCAAAATCAGCTCACACGGAGATCACGGCAGGAGGAACATACAGGAGTTTCACTGGAGCCGTGCAGCAGCCAGTTGGCTGCACGATGAGGTAAAGATGCAATGAATAAAGTAAATAAAGTGAATGTTCAGGGCTGGCAGGTTCAGGTGTGCACACTGCAATTAAAATATGGCATTCATGCCTTTGTTAGAACAGCTAAAGAGTAAGATGAAGATGGGGAAAGTCACTTGTACACTTGTCTGGAAGAGTCTGTGTGTTCCAAAAATGTCTTTCAACGCTGAGAAAAAAATCCCTCATCCAAGCTCGTTAATATTTGGGAACAATTTGCGAGCAGGTTAGCAGCTGTGCTCGAGAGCTCAGGCACGTTCTGATCTGTCCGGACGCTGCTGGGATCTTACATACTGGGGATAGCCTGAAGGTTCAAGACAACAGCTCACAGTTTACGCCGTTCAAAGCTAAGGAATGCTTTAACACAACGTTAGAGCCTAACAGGCCTCATTTTTATATCTGCAACTATAAACACGTGTAAGCGTGAGATAGGACAAATGTTTAGTTTTTACTCCGGGTGAGGTCAGTTGTCTTTAAGTCCAGCAGTGAGCTTGTGACGGGATTTTAAAATCAGGCCCATCTGTGTCTGAATATGCTCACCCGGTCCTTACCTATGGCCAGAGTCATGACCTTCAGCTTGTTCCGCACCAGTTTGACCACCATGCTCTTCTGCAGCGGCGTGGACCGGCAGCACAGCACGGAACGGCAGCTCCGTGCAACGGCCAGAAACTTATCCTCCAAACTCTTATCCAGGGCGTAGGCCAACGTCCGCCCGTCTATCACCAGGCCCAGCCGGTGCACCAAGAAGGGAGTGGACTGGGAGGACGGAGATGAAGAGGAGTAGATGTCAAAGGGTGAGAAGTTCGTGTTGAAGCTCTTGGTGGTTGGGCCTGATGGGCTGCAGAGGAATTTGGCCTGGATGTAGTGTAAACTCTCCTCCAGCAGCAGCGCGCACGCCTCCTGGGTCACAGAGAAGTTCAGCGTCAGGACGGCATGTTAATTCAGCTGCAACAATCTCCGGAGCTCTAGAGCTTGGATACTTTAAGATCAAATATGAATTTAAATCCTGTGTAAGGCTTTACTGTAAACACAGTAAACGTCTGTAGTAGAAACACATGATGTAGGGTGGGTCAGATCAGACACAAACATGAGCGATCTCCATCTTTTGGAATGAGGATTTATTCTGATTTATTCCAGAAAGGGACAAGAACGCGACACTAAAGATCAACCTGTGCTCGGTCTAGAAAACAACAACACACAGCTGTGAGTCTGACAACAAAGCTCTACAACAGCAGCATGCTAACGCTGTGCTAACGCTTTACACACAATCTATGATGCCAACGCAAAACTAGCTGTTTGTCATCCCACCAGCGGAGCCGAAGGTTGATTTGACACATGTCGTACATTTCCACCCGACTCGTCACCACAGGAGATTCGCGGCCAGCACATTTTTTCTGTGCTGTGCTCTGTGGGGCGTTTTTCACCCATTCTGCTGTCAGTTTGTGCTAAAACTTTGGCAACTAAAATAAAGATCTCCTGCCTGTCCTCGGGTCGGTTGGGTTTAGAGCAGATATTTTAATGCATTCAGCAAGTTTTAGTTTGCTTTATGAGCCAACTTTATTCCACAACAGTACACTCAGCTTGTTACCTATTGAGCTCTTTTTTTTCTCTGTAATTATACTTTATTTATGCTGTTTTGTTAAATCTTATGTTCAGTGTTTGGATGCTGCAAGACACAATTTGCAATTTTTGGGATAAATGAATTAAATCTGATAATAAATCTAATTATTTGCTGGCAATTTCACAGGCGATGTTCTTGAGCAATGCAAAATGAATGCAGTAAGTTGTGCAATCAGTTATTCTCTTCAGGCAGCCGATCACTTTTGTAGAAAAACATTTAGACTGTGAATAAGAATCCAAATGGCTTGAGACTCCGTCCTCTGAAACGTTGTTAGGCAAAGACGACCGGGGTCGGTCTTTACCGGCATTTCAGTGACTCATCACTGCAGGAGCTTGAGATGCTCACATGACAGAGGAGTTTCCTCTTCTCACCCCAACTGGTCGCGGCACATAGCCGCCTGGTTCTGCTGGAGGTTTCTTCCTGTTAAAAAGGAGTTTTTCCTTCCCACTGTCGCCAAAGTGATTGGTCATAGGGGGTCATATGATTGTTGGGTCTACCTTACAATATAAAGCGCCTTGAGGCGACTGTTGTTGTGATTTGGCGTTGCTGATTGCAGCCACTTTTTCCGTTTTCACCTTTCTAATCTTGGGTGGCACACTGATTGTTTAGACCACCACTGTTCACACAGGAATCTGCTGCCGTTTGATTAGCTCAAGACTATAGCGTACACTTTGCAGTCGGTGGCTGCAGAGTTTATTTGTGACCAAGGAAGTCACATGTGCCAAAACAAATGGTACCAAGGGGGAAATGAGCAAGAATCCAATTACAGCGTGCAGGTGTGAAAGCGCTCCACGTTTAGGAAACCAGAGTTTATTAAAACCTGGCTGGTGCTACTGCTCACCTGAGAGTCAGCGTTCAGTGTCAGGAGCTCCTCCTCGGGGTCCAGCAGCTTGCACGCGTACGCGATGTTCACAGCAGTTTCCTGTTTGTCCCCCGTCAGCACCCATATCTGTAGGCCCGCCTTCCGCAGGGAAGCTATAGTTTCAGGCACGCCGTCCTGCAGCCGATCCTCAATGCCCGTCGCTCCTGAAGGAGAAGGCAAGTCTGTGACAAACTCTCCAACATTAGAGTAATTACATTCGTAATAACAGTTTCAGCTGTAACTGAGAGCTACCCAGAAGATGGAGGTTCGTCTCCAACTGCAGGGCCGACTCAAAGAGCAGCTCCTCCCTTCCCTGAATGGCCGTCTCAGCCGCCAAGTGCCGCTGCAGCCAGCAGGCGTACTCCTCTTTGCTCAGAATCTGACACACAAACACAAAACGTTTACACACACACACACACACACACACACACACACACACACACACACACACACACACACAGAGTCATGTGTCAGGATCCTCCATAACAGAATGTGAGACCTTGACAAGGTGTTTTATCGCTTTGCTTTGGTGATGGCGCTGCACAGGCAGGAATATAATGAGCCCAGCTTGTGAGAGCATAAATTAACAGCCTGGGAAAGTGGCACAGATTGCAGCTGAGTCACGAAGAATGTCACTTGTGGAAGGGCTGGTCCATGTGATCATCTGCGCCGGGCTGCAAACACATCCTGTCAAGAAGCCACTGAGACACACCACCTCCGTCCCCCTTTTAAAGCAGTTTAATGATGGAGGGCAGTTGTTCAGGTTTACAGATCCGTGCTTGCATACCTTTTTTGCTATGCACAGCGTGCGAAGTCCATCTGCAGCGTACAGATTCAGGTAGTGCTGGGTCCTGCAGACAATCTTTTTCTGACGTTTCCCTTTGGAGTTTCCTTAAAAAACAGAAAAGGACAGAAATAAACGGAGATGGGATTTTCTCGCTTTGGGGGAATTTGCATGAGTGGTTCAGCATTTTAGTTCCAAATTACAAAAGACTTCATCCAAGAAGCCATCTGTCCTCACACCTAAATTAACCATGCATGCTACACCTCAACGTAAAGCCATCATATTGCTCACTAAGCGGCATCTGGGTTATGGCGTTCGCAAATATAATTAATCTATTTCAATTTTCTGCCCAAATGATTTAAAAACGACTGAACATTCGAAGTTATCTAAGATGTTTCAAAGCGTCTTGCTGGAGCGCCTCTCTGGCAACACCTCGGCCATCTTTCTGGCAGGGGAGCGGCGCACAAACAGATTGGCCTTATGGGTCTCCTGACACAGATGCACCAGCCAACACTCTGATTGCCAGCCATGAAATCTCACTAATAACACAACAGCTTGGCAGGCACAGCCTCACATGCACCGCCACGCAAAATTATTTTTACTGAAAGGAACAAATTAGCACAAAACTGGCAGCGATCGAACAGTTCCAGCTCGGAAAGTCAGGAAATAATCGAAACTAAGTGCTTTTATTCACCGCTAAAAGCGAGTTGTGTTATGAAGAAGTTATAATTACACCAACAGTCTATTTTCTCTTTGGCTGTGGAGGAAAAAAACTAAAGCAAAAACACAGCGTGAGTTCTGCTTTTCTGATGAACAGCTGCTGGGAGCAGACAAGCTCCCAGACACAGGTGGAAATTCACATCATGTTTCGGTTTCCAGTCAGAAAACTGAGGTGCATTTTTCCCCTGTCTTTTATATACAGTTCGTGTCACAGACTGTATATAAAAGATAGACAGAGCTGCTTTTGAAGAGTAAAGCCAAAGCTGAAGTGCCTTAAATAGCACCATATATGGTTGCAACAAGAAGCCCGGCTGTGTCAAGCCTGACAACATGATTTTAATGCTCACCTCATCTCCGACCACTGTAAACACAAACAGGCTGTTTTCTGTCAGATACCAACGCCATAGATCGATACTGTAAAATATATACTTTAACAAAACTATTAGATCTCTATGAAACAAATACTTTCAGAATCTAAAAGGTAGTGCAAATATATATATGCATTTCAATCTGTCTGATGTAGTCTGATCAAAGTTACTAATGCAAAATTATTTGTGACTTTGGAAACAAACAACTGTTAAATTAACAATTTCTATTACACTGTTACAGATGGGCAGGAATCACAGCGTTTGCAGCCTCGCTCCCAATTTAATGTCATCATTTAATTATTAGCCACAGTTGCTAGCTGCTACCTTAATGACCCCTAAACAGACGGCTAGTGTGGCTATCGGATAAAAGTACTTTTGGCTGCGCCCTCATTTCTACAGCGGATGGATCCACATGTTTGAACTGGCAGAGATTTTATGCCTGATGGCCTTCCTGATGCTTGATTAGTTTTGATTAGTTCTATATATAATATATTATAAAGAAATCGATGTTTCTGGGCTACCGCATGAGTGTAGACCAGTGAGGTGACAGGTGATCATCTAAATGTCTGCAAGTTAGTTGACTGAACATCCGTTATCGTCCGCTTTTCTGAAGTTGGGCCACGTTGGCAGAAAACTAAGCTGCTTTTCTTGATGTCTCTCTCCTCAGCAACAGTTTCCAGTTCCTCCTGGAAGACACTGAGACATTCCCAGCCCAGATGAGATATAATCTACCCAATGGGATACGGATCTACCTCTGTGTCTCCTCCAGTTGGGAGTGCCTGAAAAAAGGGAGGCTTCTGAGCAGCATCCTTACATGAACCCACAATCACCTCAACGGACTCCTTTTGACTGTACTCCAAGCTCTTTATCTCTACGACTGCCACCCTAAAAACGAAACACAACCTTGCACGACTACAGGCGAAGGCTGGAACGTACACCAACTATTAAATTGACAGTGACTCTGCCTCGTTTTCACCACGAGAGTCCAATATACCTGCTTTACTGCAGACACCACACCAATTTGTTTATTTTAACTTTACAGTTTCCTCGATTTCAGCTGTTTTCAGATCCAAATCTGGGACCTACTGACAGGGATTGACACGCCCTTTTTTATTGCTGAAATGAATTATTTATTGTGTGAATAAATAATAAATGTAGTTTCACAGTGCAACTACTAAACAGGAGTCTGCAGGCACACTTTCATCTCCAAAGGTCTACAGTCTGTCACCTCCACGTGTCCTGTTATTAGAATGACACTGAACAACTCCCTCATCCCCTGAATGGAGCTATTATGGACATTCTGGGTTATGAGAAGGCCCGGTGCCTGCTGAGCTCTAATTGGCTGCTTTTGCCCAATGGGGAACCAAAGTGTGCACGAAAACACACGCAACCCTGGTCATTAAAGCTGCTCAACTGGGACACTAGGCTGTATGATCTGTTTTTGTGAGCAACTGAATTTTAAGTAAGCGGAAAAACTTGTGCACCCAGCACTGTGTGCAGGACTCAGCACGGGATGCACGATGGAAAATCAATACAATTAATCATACTGTAATTCAGAATTCTCCAAAGGATAAGATTATATGTCAGCAAGAAAACATGCCAAAACGAGGTTTGGGGGGTGGGCTCATCTCCATTTGTCTGCTGCAGTTAACAAGTCCTCATTCGGCGTAGGAGGATCATTTCAGCTGGAGAGCCATTTTTACGCAGCCGTGTTGAGATGCCTTTAATGAACAGGAGGGAGCCACTAAGCAGGCACGTGAAAGAAATGTATTACTCGCACAACGTGACAGCATGCTCTTACTGAAGGGGATCCAAGACAGTTTGCTGCACCGGCTGATTCAGTCCATGAAAACAAAAGCACTTCAGAGCACTTTTACACTTCTGAGCAAATGATGCGGTGAAGGAATTGTGCCGTAATAGGAAAGCTTGTATAAAGTGTGGTAAACACTGTTGCAGGATACACACGCAGTCCACGATATGCCAACATCTACTGACACAGTTACGACTCGATTTATTCACTTACTACTCGTGCTTCCCACACATAGTAGACTCAGTGTATTTAGGGGCTCATTATAACATTTTTCATTTTGTTTTTCATCTTTGTGAGAAGTCGATGCCATCTGTGTCCAGATGTGGAAATTCTGTGTGAACCAGTTAATGTCAAGGACTATTATGACTCTAAAATATTAGCGAATTATAATAAGTGGAATGAAATGATTGCATTTTTGTATGTGTTTTTCTCTACCTTTCACATCATCTGTCAGAGAGTTGCACCAAAGATGAATCCTAGCAGCCAGCCAGCAGTCTGCCAATCAAAGCAGCCACACCCAGTGACTACCTCACTCCAGTATAAAGATGAATGTATCTGTCTGTTTTTATAAGAGGGACACATTTTTTTGTGGCCGAATAAAAACATGTTTATTTCTACTGTAAAGTTGGATGTTTTAAAATGTGGGTCCTTTCTGAAGCCTCTGGTGGATGTTGGAGGAACTGCAGGTTTTAATGCTTTAGTAAATCTCAGGGCCCAGTTGCTGAAATATAATCTGGCAGGATTAATCCAATCTGATAGGACCAAATCCTGAAATCCGGTTGTGCAAAAAGTAAATGGAATTACAGAATCGTAAAAGATCTGCTAACATTATCCAGTTTTTTATCTGGATTCAAAACATTTGAATGGGAAGAGGATTTCTTTGCTCCAAAATATCACAATTACGGAGATGCCAGCAGAGATCTGGATTCAGACTGGATTATGGTAAGGAAAGTTAACCAAACAAGAAAACCGGAACTGATAAACAGAGTTTAAAGAAAGACAAACGTCAAACAGTTTGAAAACTCTGTATGTAAATGCGATAACTGGAGATAACTAGGGCTGTGCGATATGACCAAAATCTCATATCCCGATATAAGAATTCTATCGTCTCAATAACGATATAAATCACAAAAATGTAACATTTTCTGAAAATTCTGTGAATCTCGGGCAGCTCGACTTGCGTGAAGTGTTTCCAGCTGTGCGTCGTGTAGCTGGAGTCGAGTGTTTTAACCGATGCATGAAACTATAGATTTTTAGACATAAGTTTTAACCGCCGCCGTTTTCTTTGTGAGCATTTATTACACGGCGTGCTGCGGGGAAAAGCCTGTTCTAACGTTTGAGTCTAAGGTTTATTTTTTAGCACCTGCCGGCTCTTTTTTACTTCTCATCCGTAAATTCTCTGCATACTCTTTCATGTGATTCAGTTTATTTTGAAAAGTCTGAACAGGATCTTGAGCTTTATTGTGAAAGGTTTATGTGGAAAATAAACAAGCGGACACACGATGCTGTTACCGTCGTTGTTGCTAACCACAACACATAAAAACAGGCGCTTGTCCGTAGTGTGGTTATATTAAATATAAGAGAAAGAGAGAACTTTAAGAAATTAATATAGCCACTACAGTCACCATCAAAACAATAAAAAAATATTGCCGTAAACAGTTTATTTTGCGACACCACGAAACAAACGATAGCGTAAAATGAAACGATAGACGTTTTTATATCGTCATCCGATACATATCGTTATATCGAACACCCCTAGAGATAACAATAAAATATTTTCCCAACAAATAACTAATATCCAAGAAACTACGGTGAATTTTAAGAAAGGTTAAATTTGGCTCAGGGGGTTGGGAAGCGTATCTGTAACCGGAAGGTCGCCGGTTCGATCCCTGGGCTCTCTGTCCTGGTCGTTGTGTCCTTGGGCAAGACACTTTACCCTACTGGTGTTGGCCAGAGGGGCCGATGGCACGAAATGGCAGCCTCGCTTCTGTCAGTCTGCCCCAGGGCAGCTGTGGCTACAACTGTAGCTGCCTCCACCAGTGTATGAATGCGAGAGTGAATGAATAGTGGCATTGTAAAGCGCTTTGGGTGCCTTGAAAAGCGCTATATAAATCCATTCCATTATTATTATTTGAGTCAGTAAACAGTTTCCAGTTCTTTATAGATTTCTCTAAGATGTGGAATAAAGATGTTAACCTGTTAACTCTTTGACACTGTCATGGGAATTTTCTAAACTATTCTAAAGCAATAATATCATTAAAAAAGGTGACGTAATCCCAGGCTGCAGACCTCCACACTGCGTGTTGTGTCACGTGTTCCTGTGGGTTGAAACAGTCTTTGCTAAGCACCCCTGGACAGATGTCTGGTACAGGTCTGTGTAGGTCTTTGTGTGACTGGAATAGTAAGACCCTGCTACACCTTTGCCTTTAGGACATAAAAGAAGCTGTAGAATATGGAACAAGGAAAAAAAGGAAAAAAAAAAAAACACAGGGAAGTTTTCTTTTTTAAGACCCTAGTCAAGGCAGGCTCTGAGTTCAGCAGCTCTAAAAATAAAAGTCCTTATATAACATGTGACCTTATCCTTTCACCTGAGTAGAAAGCATAAGGGTTTGGGGAAGTATCAGTGAAACCTCGAGTGTTTATAAAGACCAAGACCACAGACCTCCACAGACTGTATACAATGAACCACTCAAACCTGAAATAGACGATCAGATATAAAGCACCAATTCATGAAGTCTGTCATCTCAATGCGTTTCATATTGTAGCATAAAGACTCTACAACAATTACAGACAGTATACAGTGTTCACTTGTTCTGTCACGTTACAACCTTATTCCAAAAGGGATTCAAAGTTACTATATAAGAAAAAACAAAATAACACTGTCGTCCCGTTTCCACATGTGTCTGTCCACGTTGGACAAAATGTGAAGCAGGTAAAGTGTGGATACTTTAACCACTGTAGTCACATGACATACATGCACTTTCAACATATACATAGACACAACAAAAGCAAACAGTCCTAACTCGTGGTGTTAATTTCTTCTAGATCACAGCAGAGTCTCGCCTTATAGCGGTCTCTTGACTACACACAGCTACTTCTAGAGTCAACCTGCAGTTAGGGCTGTACGATATGACCAAAATCTCATGGTAAATGGCCTGCATTTGTATAGCGCTTTCCTAGTCCCTAAGGACCCCAAAGCGCTTCACACTACATTCAGTCATCCACCCACACATTCACACACACATTCACACACTGGCGATGGCAAGCTACATTGTAGCCACAGCTGCCCTGGGGCGCACTGACAGAGGCGAGGCTGCCGGACACTGGCGCCACCGGGCCCTCTGACCACCACCAGTAGGCAAATACGGGGTTAGTATCTTGCCCAAGGATATTTGGCATGCAGCCAGGAGGCAGCCTGGGATCAAACCACCGACCTTCTGATTAGTGGCTGACCTGCTCTGCCACCTGAGCTACAGCCACCCCTCATATCCCGATATAAGACATCTATCGTCTGATAACGATATAAATCACAAAAATGTAACATTTTCTGTAAATTCTGTAACTCTCGTGCAGCTCGACTTGCGTGAAGTGTTTCCAGCTGCGCGTCACGTAGCTGGAGTCGAGTGTTTTAACCGATGCATGAAACGATACATTTTAAGACATAAGTTGTAAAGGCCGCCGCTTTCTTTGTGAGTATTTATTACACGGCGTGCTGCGGGGAAAAGCCTGTTCTAACGTTTGAGTCCAAGGTATATTTTTTAGCACCTGGCGGCTCTTTTTTTACTTCTCATCCGTAAACAATCTGCTCTTTCACGTGATTTCGTTTATTTTGAAAAGTCTGAACAGGATCTTGAGCTTTATTGTGAAAGGTTTAGGTGGAACATAAACAAGTGGACACGCGATGCTGTTACCGTTGTTGTTGCTAAGGACAATGGATAAAAACAGGCGCTTGTCTGTCTGTAGTGTGGTTATATTAAATATAAGAGAAAGAGAGAACTTTAAAAAATTAATATAGCCACTACAGTGACCATCAAAACAATAAAAAAAATATTGCCGTAAACAGTTTATTTTGCGACACCACGAAACAAACGATAGCGTAAAATGAAACAATAGACGTTTTTCTATCGTCATCCATATATATCATTATATTGAACAGCCCTACCTGCAGTCAATCGAGCTAAAGCCTCACTTCACCTTTAATGACAGAAACTGATTTGCATAACGAAGCAGAAAAGTATAAAGAAATGTCAAAAGCCAGCTTTAGAGCGGAAGTGTCACAAACTAGGCCTGGGGCCAGAATCAGCCCAGCAAAGACTCCAAACCGGCCCGCAGGACAGGTGTGAAAAATGTGAAGGAGGGCAAATGTTTAAGACTTTGACAACTTTTCTACTGATGAAGACCTCCCCCATGCTCATTTATACTACACTGAAGTAAAAGGGAAACAATGAAATGACAGAAAATGTCCTGTTTTTCCACCAACTATGATAGAAATTTATATTTTTTTGTTTTAATATATTTATTTAACAGTTAAAAACTCAGTCTGGGCTACTGGAGCTTTTTACTGTAATTTTAAACATTTATGTCTTACAATTTAAAGCCCAAAGAGTCATCCTGACAGATTTCTTTCAGTTGCTACTGCAGAACGTCTTTCTTATGTAGAAAAACTGTTAAATGTTTAGCAAAATGTCAAACTGCGACTGGCACTTTCACCAGTTTGGTCGATCAATGACATAAAATGAGTTTCACATCCCTGATTTAGAGGAAATGCCTGCTTTTTGAAAGTCATCTGTTAATCAGTTCCCTCAGTCAATAATTCTTTTGGGAGAAATTTGTTATGTTTGCAGTTTCAGTGGACCACAGAATCAGCTGCAAAGATTAAATGCTGTGTTTTGAGGCTGATCTCCATGTCTGATATCTCATGCTATAATGAAACTGTAATTTCACTAAACAATGCTTCATCTTTCACATAGCACTCCAAACCACATCATGATCACAAGCCAAAGCAGTGCCGTTGCTTATTATCCCCATTAACATTTAAAAAAAAAAAATCTCACTGGTCACAACGGTCTGCAGAGATTTCCCAAACAAGTGTTTTCCTACCTGTGTCGGGGGGTTTGATGAGATCCATGATGACAGAGTCTGCTCCTTTAGTGTAGACGGTGATCTGATCAGTCAGAGGGTGTCGAACCACCACAGACATGCGTTTCCTGGTGGAGTCAAAGCCAAGTGTGTGCAGCAGCTCGAAGCTCAGCTTCCCCAGGTGAGGCAGCTCCACGATCACCTGGTCGGGGAGGCGTCCGACCAGGGAGCACTTGTAGGCCCGGGCAGCGTAGACCAGAGCGGCCTCGTCGGGCGACTCTGCCTCGTAGCGCAGCTCTCCTTCGTCGAGGTTCCAGGAGGTTTTTCCATCGTAGGATGGCGGGATGGGGCTAAAAGCCTGCTCCAAACCTCCCGAGGGCTGCTCCTCGTGCAGCTTGGAGAGCGTGCTCTCTGCCGAGGGCGAGGACAGCAGGCTGGAGCAGCCCTTATTGGAGGATCGGTTGGTGATGAGACTGGAGGAGCTGCTGCTGTTGGAGCCGGAGGTCAGTCGGCTGGGGGTGAAGCGTTTGATGAAGTCCTCGATGGTCTTCACTGGAGACTTTAGCTCGAACCTCATCCTGACCTGCAGGAGCAGAAAGTGTAGGCATAAAATAATGTTTTTATAATCCAAGAGAGAACAGACCCTGATTCCATCTTCATTTTTTTCTCCAGGTGCTCTTAAATCTAACACAGACCACTGAAAGTGATAAAAGACACGAGACAACCCATCAGGCTCATTTTAGGGCAATAAGAGTCTGACGCAGAGAATGTGACACAACAGTGTTTCTCTCACTTAAACAGACATTGGGACAGATTCTTCCATAAAAAGAACCAACACAGTAAAAAACAGCGATAAAAGCCAAGTGCTCTTTCTATAGATTGTTAAATAGTTGTGTCAAAAAAAAAAAATCATTTATGCTCATCAGCCAGTACAAAATACCTAAAAAGGTCAAATATAAAAATCGATTTTGTGCATAAGTGGATTTAAGAAAAAGGCCAGCAAGTTAAAACGACTTATGCAGCACTGCGTAAATAATCCAAATCGGGCTCTGAGGCGAGATTCTGTCACTGGGTGGGAATCGGTGTAGATCACAGACTGTAAATAAAAGATGGATGTAGGCACTGTCACATCAACCACTGTTGTTGGAGTGAACAGCTAAAGGCTTCAACCCATTTGTGTTGCAAAGTCAGAGATGTTAATGTGGCAATCCAGAGGGACTGACTCATTTCTGGAGCCTCCGATGGACGTTGGAGGAACTGCAGCTTTCTGCAGGGGAGACTGGTACTTGGTTAAAAGAGATCCTGAGGTTAAAATACTTGATATTAACGTAAATAACGATGAATTTAGCCACTGGCCTCTGGCTCTATGACTACTGCAGCATATGGCATTACTAAGAAAGATGCTCAAATGGATGAAATGAATAAGAAGTTGACTTCCGAGTGAATTCAGGTGCTGCTTTTGGGGGAATATTTCTTAAGGTTAAGAAGCTCATAAGATGGATGTTCTACATCGTTTTAGTCCTTAGAAATGTTTGAAAAGCTCTGGTACTACAGAGGACTTTATCTCTGATGAAAAAGCTTCTCCTGGCCATAATCCTTCGGCCAATCATTCATCCCAAGGTGCCGCAGTACAACAGAAGAAAAAGCGACTCACTTTAAGGTCTCCTGGCAGCGGGAACCACAGTTCTCACATACATATACAAGAATAAATCATTCAGTGGCCCAGCTACGCACAAGGGCATCATAATAAAAATGTGAACAATTGCTCTGGAACACGGGACAGCAAAACAACCGATAAAAACCGAAAGAAAAGTCAGCGCTTCTGTGCAGACGTGCATCTTATCAGATGACCTCCAAAGAGAAACACAGACATACATAAACGGTGTGCCACCGTGTACAGTTTCATCGAGCAGATTTGTGCTCTGACAGTCGGGATCCATTGTGAGCCAGTGCACGCCGCGTGAGGCGAGGAGAGGATATCGCCTCCTGACAGGAGGACCACACCCAGGCCCAGAAACAAAACGCGGATACGCTAACAGAAAAAGTAGTGAAAGCTACGTGCAAGCGCACACTTTCAGCGTCAGATCTGGAACGTTTTTTTTAAACTCGTAACATGCAGCTTTCGCTCAAAAGGTGGAAACTACTCCCACATGGATCAAAAAAACATAAACACAAAACACAAAGCTCGTTTGTTAGCGTGCTGGAAGGACTTCAGTTGCATTTTTCTCCACTGATACAGACACAGCTTTAAGATATGAATCTTCTTTGGATCACAAAGGATTTGTGAAAAACCTGAAGTTCACCTCATGAGTGTGAGCTGTATGAGAACGAGGTCACCTGCAACCACAGGTGGGAGGTAACAAAGTACAAATACTTTACTAAACCTAGGCAGAATTCTGACAACGTTTTATTTTACTTTACTCCTCGCTTAAATACATATCTGTGCTTTCTACTTCTTACATTTTCAAAACAGGCTCGTTAGTATTTTTTAAGCACAGGATCTGTACTTATTTCACTGTAAAGAAGTCAAAAATAAATCTACTTCTACAGACAGCAACACACAGCAGACCCATGCTTTAAACCACTAATGATTGTGCAACCCCATAATTTTCTGAGCAGGTCGATGGGCTCTGAGATCCAGAATGCTCTTATACTCTGTCTATTATTGTTTTTCAATTAAATGTTTTCCACCAATACTACTTATAATACCTCCAGTCTGTACATTTAATAGTTATATAGATTACAAGGAACCATCAAAGAAAGTAAAGTGTCTCCATGGGAACTAATGATTTGGAGCATTATATGATTGTGACCTCAAACTACATGTCCACTAACCATCAGTGCAACTGTGAACCAAACCAGTTATGTATGAATTCTTAATGATACTTTGTAGGGCTGTGCGACATGACCAAAATCTCATATCCCGATATAAGAATAAGAATCGTCCAATAACGATATAAATCACAAAAATGTAACATTTTCTGTAAATTCTGTGAATCTCGGGCAGCTCGACTTGCGTGAAGTGTTTCCAGCTGCGCGTCGTGTAGCTGGAGTCGAGTGTTTCAACCGATGCATGAAACGATACATTTTTAGACATAAGTTGTAACGGCCGCCGTTTTCTTTATGAGTATTTATTACACGGCGTGCTGCGGGGAAAAGCCTGTTCTAACGTTTGAGTCTAAGGTTTATTTTTTAGCACCTGCCGGCTCTTTTTTAATTCTCATCCGTAAATAATCTGCTCTTTCACGTGAAAGAGCAGATTATTTTGAAAAGTGTATTTTGAAAAGTCTCAACAGGATCTTGAGCTTTATTGTGAAAGGTTTAGGTGGAACATAAACAAGCAGACACGCGATGCTGTTACCGTCGTTGTTGCTAACAACAACGCATAAAAAACAGGCGCTTGTCCCTCCGTAGTGTGGTTATATTAAATGTAAGAGAAAGAGAGAACTTTAAGAAATGAATATAGCCACTACAGTGACCATCAAAACGATGGAAAAATATTGCCATAAACAGCTTATTTTGCGACACCACGAAACAAACGATAGCATAAAATGAAACGATAGACGTTTTTATATCGTCATCCGATATATATCGTTATATCGAACAGCCCTAATACTTTGTAAATCACAATCCCAGATATGGAAAAACTCCAAACGCTGATCTGCTGCCACTGCAGATTACCCTCCTTACATCACTGACAGAGGAGACTTCACGTCACTTTGCAGAGACGAGTCTGTGGTGTGATGGTTAGCTGTGCACATGTCGTGCTGGTGTAAACAGAAGGCGTGCAAAAAGAGGCTGAACAACAGCCCAGTAATGTGCATGTGGTGACACATGAAACTATCATGCGCTCTGGTGTTTATTCTAATAAGTCATAGGGAGCTGCTTAAGCAATGAACCGAATCATGGATTTGGACTATTATAATATCCTGCCATTTTGAACATATACAATCTAATGCTTCCTTTTTAATTCATGCCTATAAAACCTTTCCTGTTGCCCCTGCCAAGAACCTGACTTGTTCTACAAAAACTTATTTCGATGAAGATGGAATAATGGCAACTATCCCACCATGAGCCCTAAACATTTACCCACAATGCACTTTAGGTTTTCCCCAGTGAATTCTCAGAAAAAAATAAGCATGCAGGGTACCAATGCTCTTCAATGTCACAGACGTTAAATCGGTGCAGTTTTCTCACACTATGATAGATCCTGAGATACTGACGCTCAGAGTCGCTTAAGAGAAAAAAAAATTGTTCTTAACAGAAAATATATTTAGGCTTTAGACTTTTCTATCTCATCTACCTCCTGTACTTATGAAATCTGAACCGACCCCTTTGCACACCAAGGGCCTGTAACTCTTCTGTCTTTTTTAGGCTTCATAGTCCAAAAAAAACAAAACAGATTTTATATAAATAATTTCCCAGAGCCGACACTTGCCCCGATAAAAAGCTAAGATGCTTTCTGATGACTGCAGCAAGTCAGGCACTGACACGCTGTCAACACTTTATTATGAGCTTAGTGTCTTTACCAGCTGCACACATGCACCTATTAGAGGAATTAAAGGGGAGGCTTGCTTCACCTGCAAGTCTCTCTCTCTTACACACACACACACACACACACACACACACACACACACACACACACACACACACACACACACACACACACACACACACACACACACACACACACACACACACACACACACACACACACAAAAGTCAAAAGAGAAGAAATCAGGAGGTGTGGAATGAAGTTGAGGTAACATCATTGTGCGGCCCAGTCCACAAACAATCCCTCTCTGACCTGACAGAGGTTTGACCAAACTGATGTTTCTGACCTGAACAGGTGAGTGTTACCTTGTGTCTTGGCTGGTTGGGGGAGGACACGACCACCGTGTTGCAGATTGTGAGAGCGATGAAAAAATCGATGATGTCTGAGAGGTCAGAGGGCAGCTGGGACATAGGCTGGCTGTGGAAGCGCATGAAGTCCATCTGACTGCTGCAGTCATTGACTTTGTCCAGGAGCTTGGGGTCGGGGGTGATGTCTTTCTCCTGCAGAACAGACGGAGGTTTGTTAGGGTAAAGGATGCAGGATGAGGATTGTAGAGCAGTAATGAGGACCCACCATGGGGCTGCTGAAGGCCGTGTGCTTGGACAGGATGCTGGCTCTCTTGGCCTCGGCCCTGCTGCCTGTCCTGCGGTGGGACTTGGTACTCTGGGACCGCAGCACCACGCGGGCGCTCTGGTGACTGGTCACGCTGTCCCGCCTGGGGAGGGTGCCACCGTGAGACATGCACTCTTCCTCCTCTGAGTCCATTTCCTGGTACATGGCAAGTCTTCGAGCTGAAAAACAAACACACACCGTTAGTGGTGACTTAGAAGATGATGACCGCTTACTGTTTCTTTAAGGGAGCGTGTGAGAGGGTTGGCTGGTCGTCTCACCGTTGGCATCATGGGAATACTCCACCCCTGCCACAGTGCAGCGCCGGAACACCATCTTATTTTCCGTCAGCGTGCCTGTCTTGTCAGAGAAGATATACTGCATCTGGCCCAGATCCTCTGTGATATTAAGTGCTCTGCACTGCAGGTGGGAGTCTGTCTCCTCGTCGTACAGATCCATATCTTGATGGATGAAGTACACTTGGCAGATCTTGACAATTTCAATTGACACAAAAAGGGAGATGGGTATCAGGACCTAGGAGGGGAGAGAGGTAGAGCAGGCTGTCATCCTGGAAACTGATGGAAAGATGGTGTGAACGTCTGAACGTGAAATCAAATCAAATAAAGAGTGAAGATGCAGAAGAACAAATAGCTAAAGATGTAAAAAAGTTTAAATGCGTTAATGAGGGACCCCCCCCCCCAAAAAAAAACAACCCAAAAAAACCCAATGTAAGTTAAAAGCGAAGCTTAAAAATAAAACAGGTAAAAGAGATCAAATAGATCGACTCAAATAAACCTCAAATGGTTAAAGGGTTGAAAATATGAAAAGAAAGGATACACTGAAATTGCAGGGATGTGCTGGTGCAATACGTAGCTAAATGCAACAAGAAAAGTCAGTTATGAAGTTAAATGGATGAACAGTAGAGACAGAAAAAAGTAAACTGCAGCTAAAAAAAAATCAATTCATATAAATAATTAAATAAATCTTGTAAAAAAGAGATTCAATTATTGGAAAACCCAAAAAGAAAATCTTGAACAGTCAAATATTAAGTACATTAATTAGTACCGGTAATACTAATTTAAAGCAAATTTTAAATGATCACACATGGAAAGCCTGAGGCCAGAGGCTGGGGAGGAAGCATGAGGGTGGCAGCAGATGTCGCATTAACCGAATATTTTACAGATATTTATTTTTTAGTGTCTGTGACCTCACACAGCTCAAACTGCTCAGTTCACAAGTTCGGGATAAAACCAGTACGTCAAACACGTCATAGCTCATCCGTCTCACAATCCATCCCAGTTCACAGGTTACTGGAATGAGTGAAGTACAGACAGAAGGCGAGCTTTCTTCTCATTGGCTCGCTGTGTCCACTGAGAAGTCACAGAGGTTCTCAAGCAGTCGTAACCGGGACGATTTAGCAGCGAATGAAAGGGTTTGGGTTCAGCAGTGCTATGACTACATGGTCAGTAGTAACTACGGTAATAAAAAGCACGGAAACGAGAGGACAGGAAGGCCCAGTCACACCTTCTTAATGTGGAAGTCAACCAATAGGACAACTCCCTCCATGACCATAACCAGTAAGATCATCATCACCAACATCTAATAAAATATAAGTGCTATATTTCGTCATTTGGTGGCTCATTTTTGTATCATTCTATAACTTTCCTCTTGCAACTCATTACATATTGCACATATTACAATGCTTACACTGGCTACACATGGTGGCTAGATATATCTAAAACAGTTAACAAGTTAAAAATGGATGAATAGGAACAGATAGATGCCTGAAATAAGAGGAAAGAGTTCATCTGGGATTTCTGTGGGGCTATATCTGACAAAAAAAAAACAACCCCCAAACCAAAACATCATAATTAAAAGAATTATTGCTTCTTAGTTCCAAAATGCTAAACAAGTGATTTTTTAAGTACACTGGGCATATGCTGGATTGTTTAAAAAATGTTGGTGTAATCCAGAGTGGAACATTTCCAGGCAACGCTTATGGAAAGTAGTTCCGGAGAAATGAGTCATAGCTTTGGGGAAGGCAGCGACGTCTGCACACAGTCCTCGTGCTGCTCAACAGTCATGTGTTTATTTCAGAGTGTATCATTTTTCTGGCATTACTGTTACTATTTGCACAGCGAGACCAAAGAACTGCCCTCTGCGATTTCTCGTTTATTTTGAAAGGCCGACACCGGGGCGGCTCGTCTGCTGCTGCTGTGACACGGGACACGCCGACATTTTCCCTGAAACTTTTTGCCTAAAAAAAACACAACCAGATCAATAACAGTTGGGTCTCACTTTCTCTCCTTTTGAGCTCAGATTAAAGAGACTGTCTTGCTGCTCGAAGCAACACATTTTTCATCTTTGCTTTTCCAAACAAACAGAGAAAAAGATCTAGAGGTCACACGCAGAGGGAGGCTGAAATACTGCCACGATGTACAGCAGAATAAAACATTCCACAGTCCGTGATATTGCCTTTATATCTTTATCTGTGCCTTTGCTTCTTTAAGCTGCTTTCTTTTTAGTACCTGAAAGACGATGATCATGGTGAGGAAGAGATAAATGGCTGACATGATGGGCGATAAGTTGGTCCCCTCTGGGCTAAGAACGTCAAACACGGGTCTGTTATCTCCATACTGAAACATCCACAGCCCGTGACCTGCAACAGCAACAGCACAAGGTCAGCTCATGCAAACAGTGGAAGGACAGGAGAGAGAAGCAGAGGAAGCTCTGTGTAAGAGTTTTGTTATTCCTTGTTAATATTTAGATTTATTTTCTGACGTTTCTGTGATCAATGCTCATATTAAATGTGGTCAAAGATGAATTAAAATTAGGTAAATCCCTGCAAGGCAACACATTCGCAGGTCTTAACCTAGTATTGTTTAGAGCAGGTTTCAGATTTCAGACTATCTTTCTACTCTTGGCTCTGTGTGATGTCAGTGGGGGTCATCTCAGGCACAGCTCTGGCTACAACTACAAAGCCTCCAGCGCCTGTTGATCGAGCTGCTGTGGCTCCAGGTTGTTAACAATGACTGTTTCAGATTCCTGAGATGGATGTGGATTTGCAGTCTTCTCCTCCTCATCTGCGCTCTTTTGGTGTGTTTCTCTGGTTTTCTTTAATCTGGTTTCAAGAGGTTTGCAATAATTTTTATGGTACTTCAGCTCTGTGAATATGGACTCTCAGGAGCGGAGCTCAGGGTAACACAAAAAGATGGATGTCTGCAATCCCTAAAATATTTAGATGTCCAGTCTCTGCCTGCAGGTTTGGAGGCCTGTAGAAATATTCTTTAACACAGGTGAAGGTACGGTGGCCATGAAAGATCAAAAACAACCACAAATAGAATAACGCAGCAAAAGCACACAAAGAAAAACAAAAAACTCACAAAACAAAACGGAAACGTTTTTGGGGAGGTGAAACGTGACGGAGCAGCTGCACAAGTGACAAGCTAACAGTAAATGGCTAATGCAAACACTTTAATGTCTCCACAGAAACTTTTCCGCTGTGTTTTGTGACATTTTACAGCATTTTTTAAAAAATTTGCTGGTGTTTTCTTAAGTTGCAGTTTGTTTGACCTCTCAGGGCTACCGTACGAAGGGTTTTCATTAAAGATCGACTACGACAAAGTCACGACAAAATATGTTTTCCCAGGTGTGACGCTAAGTAGCAAATCCAGATTAAACAAATTCATTTATCTTTTAAGGAAAGAGCAGATTTCTGTTATTAGAACCAAAAGATTCTGACAGTTCTTCTCATTTTCCCTGTATGCATTTTTAAAATATCTTATTTTAATATTTATTTATATACACAAATAAGGAGAATTTTGAGGTGTGGATGATACAAAGCTGCACCACTCCTGAGGAGATACCAAGCAGCTGGAAATGAACACAATAGGTCGCCTTAAACTTCCAAACAGCTGTTTACATACCAACAGCAGCAAACAGGCACATGACCAGCAGGATGATGACGCACCAGAACACGTCTACATTCATCTGCCTCTCCAGTTTACTGCGCTTGTAACGTGGACCGTTGTTGTTCAGCATGGCTTTGGTCTCGTGACCTGCAGAGTTACACGGCGGGTTAGTCAGAGGTGGGATCAGCTGCGTGGCAGCCGAGGTGTCATTTCGGGGGCCGACCTGCATAGATGACAATTCCCACGGCCTCCTCCGTGTTGCGGATGGTGCAGCCTCGCAGCAGCAGGTTCTCTTTGTAAAGCGCGTCTCTCCTGCCGCTTCGATGGATTCTGTCAGGTGAGAGGAGGCGTGAGAATGACAGCCAAAGGATCACAGTTACACTCAAGTGAGAAATACTGAGAGAAACAAAATTACCGGTCCAAACACAACATCGATTTTTACCGCCGAGCACCTCGGTCAATCAATCACTCCTATCCCCACACCTCTCCAGAGGAGTCAGCACAAATTCCCTCTGATACTGGAGCAGTTACCAAGCAGCACCCCCCCCCCCCACTTTGAAACTCAAAGTGATATTATGAGGGAGGTGCTGAGCTTTTAATGTCAGCATTAATCCTATTACTAAATCAAGGATTACAAGCACGTTAGTTTAACAGCCCAGCAAGCTTTAGCTGGAGAGCCGCATTTAATCATCTCTGTTGTTGCCGGTTTTAGAGTCACAACTATCGGCGTGTTTACCAACAGGAAAGTCCAGCGCTTGGCTTATGACTGACACGTCATAGATTGATAACAGAGCCGTCACTAGCAGCTCAGACAGTGGGAGAAGCCGATAACAGCACGTGATACGCAGAGAGTGCTCTAAGTCTGAAATTAGACTCGTGTCAGTGGCTGTAATATAATAAAACTCTGGTGAGATGAGGCTCTGTGCCCAACGCTGCACTGTAGCCTGGCAACTGAATACCCGCAGCATCTGGTCTCCTTCTGAGAGACGAACACAAGTCATAATCACATGTGCGCAGGTCAGCCCGACTGCTGCAGAGGACGCGTCTCATCTTCTGTCTCTCACACACAACACGTCTCACTGAGGGGACACGCTGGAAGAACAGCTGGCGTGAATCCAGCTGTCAAACCACACTGACAACACCTGGAGAGGCATGATGGTGGTAAAAGCAGGGGGTGTAAAGACAAAACATCTGAACTCTGTTAGCTTGCGTTTCTTGTACTGGAGGACATTTTTCAGGGGAAGCTCAGGACAGGTTTTATATGATCAATCAGCTCACAGCACCAAAGCCTCCTCAGGCTGGCACTGCTGACAAGTCTGCCCTAAAAAAAAGAAAGATGAAAACTAAAAGACGTTTCTTGCACGTTTTCATTTACTTTAATTTTAAATGTGCAAAATATCATTTCAGCTTTCTTTCTCAAAGGTGTACACTACAACAACTATAACAGTTTTAACTCAGATAAACATGTTCCTGAGAACTAGCGAGGTTAACCAAGGTTACTCAGCCTATTTCCCATGATCCCCGCAGTCATATTTTAGGAAAACTGATCCAGCGGAAGACTGAAATGGTTTAAACAATCCAAACCAAAAGAAGGGCTGGGACTCCCAGATTTGGCGTCTTACACAACCAGCATCCTCAGCATGATTTATGCTTCAGTTAAGTAACACATAAAGTGTTAAACATGTGTATAAAGCAGTGGGGCACAACTGGCACAGCAAAGGATCCAGTCCAGCACAAAGTAGGGAAACTGACTGAGATCTTTGAGATGACTGAAGATCTTTAACAACTTCAGTGTTCCTCACATGCCTGAAAATATCAAGTATTTCCAGATCTTGACAAACTGTTTAAGTCATAAAGAATCAAATAACACAACTGCTTATACCTTCTGTAACCGCATGTGATAAGACATGCTGTTGAGACTGCACTGATATTAAAGACAGGTCAGATATAATGCATTTGTTTTATTGGGACGGCTCATTTAGGAACAGATTGGGCTTTATGCTGCCGATCAACTAAAGCGGGACTCGACACCTGCTCTAAAAGGAGCAACCTTTGTAAAAGATGGAGTTACTCCAAAATACTCACTGAATCTAATTAGAATAAAGAGCCACGAACTCCAACAACACTTTATGACTCATAGAGCCAAAATCCAGAGAAGCAGCAGTCGGCGTCTGGGGAGAAAGACTGCATGATTTGTTGTTCTCTAAATCCTCAAAGAACCTGCGCTGTAGTGGCCATATCTTTGCTATTTATGTACCTTTGCTATTATAACTTGTAGCTGAGAAGATCTCAGAGCCGATCCATCAAAATTTGAAAAATTGCACACGCTGACAGCATTAAAAGAAGCTACAAAAACAAGACATGTTTTCACTGAAGCAAAAGGAGAAGCTAGAAACAATTAAAACTACATTTCCAAAGTTTTAAATGAGGCAGTTTAAATTAAAATTTAAGCTTTTGTGTCAAAATGACATCAAAATATTTAAACTTTCAAGCTTTAGAGAAGCTGACCAGTCTAACTTTCTCCAAAACAGAATCTCAGATTCTCAAAAACCAATACTTTTGAAAGAAAATCACCCGAGCATCCGTTTCTCAAGGCTGGACTTCTGCAGCTCCCTCCTCTCTGCTATAAATCAAACATCACTCTCTCACAGTTCTAGCAAACAGCATCACGTCAGCCCGATCCCTGCGTTTCACCTCTGGCTCCCTGCACTTTTCACAGCTTTGTACTTAAAGCTTTAAAAAACACATCTGGGTCTGGGCCTGAGCTACACGAGCTCTTAGGAATCAGTTCGTAGCCTCAGATCCTCAGCGTCCACCTGGCTAATCACCCATGTATCCTATCATCTTTCAGGCAAGTTTTTGCCTGGTGTGTATTTTTAACCATCACATTATAACCATTTTGCTTGGCTCTCTGTTTAACTTCATTAGCCTGTCTGTTAAAGCTCTTTATAAACTCAGAGCCGCTATAAAAATGATAAAATAAAAATAATGTTGTTATTACTACATGGTGTTTCACTGAGGAAGTACCCCTGTATTCACACCACATATTGCTATCAGCAGTAGCTGAGGTCTGCATTGCTGTGAAGAGTAGTTCCATTTCTGCTAAAGCTACAGTGCCAATTTACTGCAGTACTATAAATAAAGAAAAAGTCAGAGTCTGCAGGTAAAGGCAACACTACCTGAGGTTAAGTGCAGGACCATAAATTGGCACCCATTCTTCTACTCATCCCCAGGAAAGTCGGAAAATTATTGGAAAGACGTATTTGATGCCTTTAACGAGTGTTTCCACTATGATATTACAAAAGATCCAAAAATAGCCTGAGCAGACACATCCAGAAGGCTTCTCGGGCGAGGGGTGCCATATATTTGAAACAAATCCAGTTAGGAGGTCCCATAAAGTGTACTTCAATTAGACGGCGGAAACCTGACCCCCGCGGCATTTACCACCGTGGGTAAAAAGAGTGGGAATAGATATGCGTTATGACCTCAAATGGCTGTGTGAGATGTTCAATATAAACCATTTTGTCCAACATAATGCAATTAACAGAAAAGTGACCAAGTCTGACCCACACAGGAAGTATTATGTAACCAATAGCTACAGGCAGCATGAACACAACTGCACGCATCAAATATCCAAGCGCTACTGCAGGACTGCAGACGCGAACGGTCCTGACTCATTCTGAGGAACGTCGAAAGGTGTCTCGAGCTTCGCCTTGGAAAACGTGCGTCAAAATCAAAGCAGCAGAAACTCACATATTCTGACTTCTCGTCTCTTATATGAGCAAAGCTCAAAAAGTCCCAGAGAGATGCTGCAAATGCAACTCTGCAGCATCTTTCATCCGACTCCGTCACGATCTGAGAGTTTGGTGCATGAATATGAATGATCTGTGCTTTTCGTTTTTAGGTTGTTCCAGGATTTGAAGCTTTGTGTTTGCCCAATTTGTCTTACTTGTTATCGTTCGGAGTTTTTGCACTTGTGAAATCAAATCCTGGCGATGAAGTTTATTTTTGTGAGTTCGTGCCTTTTCCTCGCTCATGTTTGCCGTGCGTCATCTCGTCTCCGTGTTTAGGATGTGTCTGTTTTACTCTAACACTCGGGCTGTCACTTGTGTCTATGTTTTGGGCTTTACTTCCCGTTCGTCCGTCTTCACCTGCGTTGATTACTTCCCGTTTCCTGTTCTGTCTACTCTTTGTCCACTCGTCTGGTTCACCCATCCTAGCTTGTGTTTTGCATTTTTTCTCAGTGTGTTACTTCAGCTTTAGTTTAGTTTCTTGACTCTACTTAACGTTTAGGTTCCCTTTCAGTCGATCCACTCGGTACAACACATAAGTATGGGATATCACGCCCTCGCGTGTCCTGGCTGAAGAAACCTTTATTCACGCCTTTACGGCAGATGACGTGTGATGACACGCGCAAGGCCCCGCCCGCACATATAGCCGCTGCCATCACCGTCATCCCTCAGTTCTTACGCTCTTCACCTCGCTGAGAACACCTCTGCTGAGTTGGGCTAGCTAGCTACTGCTAGTTAGCTCCGTTGTCTGCCAACTTGAACCTAGCTTAACTGCCCCTGTTGGTGTTAGCCTCCACCGCCCAGCTGGTGCGTAGGCTGCCCGCGGAGCGCTATTTTCAAGTTTTTCTTGTGCAGCGTTTCGCTTTGCGTTTTGGGAATGGACTCCAAACCGAAGCGAGCAAAGCAGAAATCTTCTGTTCGCCCCTGTCCTCAGGGATGTGGTTTCTCTTTGCACGACAGCGACCAGCACGATGCCTGCCCTGTCTGCCTGGGGATCGTCCACGCTAGGAGAGCGTTGACGGAGCCCGAAGCTTGTGCGTTTTGTCGCCAGCTCCGACGCTCGACCCTGGAAAGACGGGTGACGTTTGTGGAAAGAGTGCTGGGACGCTCGGCTGTCGCACGGCATGACCCTCTTCTTTCCGAGTCTGGAGCCCCGGCTTCGTCCGAGTCCGAAGACGAAAATTTTCAGGTCGATGTCCCCGCGATTAGCTGGGCTGACCACATGGAATACGTTGACGGGTTAGCCGATGACGGACCGGAACCATGCAGGAGCGCTGACGGGCTTCAGCCTGGGTTGAAGCCCGCCAGCGCTCCCCAGGAAGACGATGACGTGCTGGACATCGGCCTGGACATCCATGGTTTGTCGGAGGATGAGCAGGAGAGCTCATTGTCGACCCAATATGCCGCCGCTGCTGCGCCGGTCGGCCACGATGACACCTCTCTTTTCTCCCTGTTTCGCCGTGCCGCTGAGAAGCTGCAGGTGGACTGGCCCTCTCCTCCACCAGCTCGGAAGCCGTCGCGGTTTGCGGGTTTTTTCCT